CTCTTGTTAAATCACCCGCAAACCATGGTTCAGCCCCTCGCGCAAAATTCCAGTTTGTGATCGCAAATTACTGCACGCAAAATTGGATCTTGTTAAATCCGGCCCACAGAGCGCAATCCGATAGCAGTCTAAGCTGTGGAGACACTGGTATTCCTGTCTCCTTAAATCTCCTATCTAATTGTAACTTGTATGTGTATTGTACTTTTCTACCTGCATTGATTTATTTTTATCTTATATTTTTATTGAACCATGAGTCCAGAATAAAGTCCATATATCTATTTGTAATACAGCTTTTACCAAGCCTGTCAAATGAGAGGAGCACTTTAGCCTTCAGACACTTGAGGCTATTTTCAAACCAAACATCACACCTTTAAAGTTATGACCTAAACATAAAGGCAGTGAGTAAACCCCACCGTGATCCACAGCTGATGTCTTCAACAATCTTGCCTCATACTTCCGTTTCCCATCTCTGACTCTTTCAAAATAGGGAAAAGCTCTTTCCGTTTCAACTCAAAACTTATTTTTACAGCTGCTGCCATAACAACTGAACAACAGAATTTCAGAGGCTGTCACTGAAATTTACATTAGTGAATGTTTATTACCATATGATGCTAAAAAATAAGAAAAATCTCTTTCAGTGTTGATTTTCTGTTAGTTCAGAAAAAACATTATTGTTTAAGTGAATCTGATTGAATTAATTGTATTCTAGTTATTTTCGTCAGCCAATAAAACGCCTCATATGGGACAGCAGAGCTCAGGGAGAGGATTCAGATGAAAGCATAACTTACCAACATTTTTTCCTGTCTTGCTAGAGGTTTCAAAATATTGTGCTCCGATCTCTGTGAACATAAACAGAAAAAATGTATCTATTAATGGCCGTCATCACTTAGATCAAATTTCCCACAAAAATTTCTTAAAGTGACAGAACTGGTGGCAGCAGAATTAAAGCTTTTTCCAAAATATCTTCATATTAAACCATCATTGACTTAAAACTCATCATAAAAAAACCTAAATGCAGATGTGGAGTCAAGGTTTTCACATTTTTTTCTAACCTTTTCCAGAATAAAATTTCCACCACTATCTGTCCTCTTTTAGTTCATATTTAAAGTATTCACTTTAAAAAGTTAAAAGGTATAGCGGAGGATTTTCGCTAAATTTTTAGACCTGGCCTATCCACAAAAAAAAAAAAAAAAAATCAAAATTCACATACACAACCCTGTGCCCACTCCAGAGAGGGAAGGCCTATTAAACGCGTGCGAGATCCTGCACGAGCCCATTTCTCCTCGTTATACTAGCAGTGATGTGAAATGGATTTCTCCAAATAGCATGCCAACTTTACCTGTCAAGAACAAACTTTGCAACCGAGGCATCAGAAGCCCAACCTGTGCTCTCAGTGTACGCCATCACGTCAAAGAATCTCCCAAAAACACTCTGGTCTTGTTTCTCTCTTCTGAGGCCTTTCTTTTCTTCCCATACACTTCTTAGACACTTTTTCTCTTACAAACCTCTGCCATTTTCAAAGAACCGCGGGGAGAAAGGCGAGCTTCAATAACTGTCTGAAACAGTAACTCACCACAGACATACGCCTGAAAGTGTACATGTGCAGAAAAAGATAGCTAACGGGGGATGAGCACGTTGGACGGCCTTACGTGAACATATTAGAATGATAAACAATTAGGAGAACTACTTATTTTGATGATCCACCTGGGGGAAAAAAATCCTTCACTATACCTTTAATATAGACCAGGGGTGGGCAATTCCAGTTCCTGGGGGCCGGTATCCTGCAACTTTTAGATCCATCCTTGGTCCAACACACCTGAATCAAATGGCTGAGTTACCTCCTCAGTATGCAGTCGGTTCCTGCAGAGTCCTCCCAATTATCTGATTACTTGATTCAGGTGTGTTGAACCCAAGGCACATCTAAAAGATGCAGGATACCGGCCCCCAGGAACTGGAATTGCCCACCCCTGATATAGACTGTGTTAAGAAGCAATAAGATTTTCTGTAATGTTTGATTTCTAGAATGTGTGTGTATATGATCCTTTTGTTTTTTGAATTGTTTGTTACCTTTGTGGGTGTTTCCTTTTTAGAAGCCATCTTGCAACCTTACTAAGGAGGAGGCCCGCCTCAAACCCAGCTCTCTTATAGAGGGAGCCATGATGGCTGAACTTTGATTGGCTGAGGGTAAATTGAGAAGGACTGATGGCTGTAGTAAGGGTCTGATGGGAAAGCTGTTCAGAAATTGTTCTAAGTATAACCATGCCTCTGATGGAAGAGACTTAATAAATGACCTTTTGTTTTTGCTTCAACCAACTTTGCTGAATTTTTCCTTCGACACCACACCTCTCAGCGCAACAGACTGACTGATTTGAAGAACGACTTGCTAAAAAAAAAAAGAAAACAACATCTTCACATCCACAGATCACCTTCAGCAAAGTCCTGAGCATCGTGGTAGTCAATCTGACGCAGGCTCCTGTCTCCTTCGATCATGTCGCTCTTAGTGCCACACAGGTAGATCTTACAGTGCTGCAGGACACCATGCAAACCAAACAGAGAGAAATTACTCATAAAGCAAAGGGCAGAAAATGTAAACACTAGTATGTTTTGATGGTGTCCTACCCTAGTTCTTAAAAAGAAGCAGCACTGAGATAATTAATTTTTTCCAGCTTTAACAGAAAACTATGCTTATTGGCAGTTTTTTGCTTTTTTCCTGAACGTTTCTTACCTCCTCGCAGTTCTGCAGCTCTTTCACCCAAAACTTAGCTCTCTGGAAGCTGCTGCTGTCAGTCAGATCTACAAGGCCAGAAGTCAAACAGACAACAAGCATTTATCAGCCTGAGGGGATCAGCTTGTCTCCAAGCATTCTTCAATATAGAAAAAAAAAACATTCTTTAAATATTCTTGTTTAAATAAATAGAAGAAAGGCAACCACAGGAAAAGAAGGAAATTAAAGGAAGAAGAGGATCAGATGTAAAAATAAGAAAGGACAGCAGTGTGATTATTCATCAGGGAAATTCCAAAGGCTATTGCGGAAACACAAAAAACCCTTTTCCATCGCAGGGACCTTCAGTCATGGACCTGGATTTTAAAGCTCTTCACATATTTCATTACGATTCCAACAGAGCTATTTTTCTTTCCCATTTTCACCCATAAAATATTCCCATTCTGAGAGAAAAGCTTTCAGATTAGCCCTGGCTTTTTACAGGGTTAATGTCAAACTGTTTGAATGGTTCCGTTCAAACAGAGGCAGCGATGTTAGCAGAAAACACTAATAAAGTTTTATATAATCCAAAGACTTTCATTGAAAATCACATGAAAATCTTCCTCTCTGCAGCTGTCATTTACTCAAAGATCAAACCTCCTTTGATTTCAATAACATGGTTCAATTGATTTGATTTCTGTCATGCCTCTGCCGAGACACAGATTCCTATCTTCAAATCAGGAACCTGCAGTTTAATGTCTTTTTTCTGTAAAAAAAAAAAAAAATAATAATAATAATAATCTGTCAAAAAAAAATTAATTCAAATTTAGATTTTTATTAAATTTCTGTTCTCACATACTGCATGATAATATTTACCTGCAACCCTTTTTTACGCAACACGCAACGTAATTTTGCTGCCGTGCTCTTATGAAGAGGGCTAAAAAATCTTATATTTTCATTCCTTGGCCCGTGGGACTATGGCCTCTGGGGTCGGGCCCCTCAGGGACTGGGCCCCTTTGGGGTTTCTGCCCTCGGGGCGCAGGCTCTGGGTGTTCTGGTCCGCCCTTCTCTTTTGGGTGTGGCCATCTACATGTCTGCCCTTCTCTTTTGGGTGTGGCCATCCACATGTCTGCCCTTCTCTTTTGGGTGTGGCCATCCACATGTCTGCCCTTCTTTTTTGGGTGTGGCCATCCCCATGTCTGCCCTTCTTCTGTACCAGAGATTTGGGGAGCCTTTGGATATCTGGGGCTCGCTTTGCCTCTTTATTGGTAGGGCGATTCTGGGGCCGCTCACAACTGCTATTAAGCATACTTTCCATCTGAAGGAGCTTTGTCAATCATTTGTATACTAACATGCTCATACATACCACAGGAGTTTGGATCCAGGTTTTCACAGTTAAACACCAATACTAAAAATTAAGCTACAGATATATATACCAGCCTGAATATTGTGTAATTACCATAGGTTTGCCTTCCACACAGATAGATATCTAAGGAATACAAGCTGCTCTTAAAGCTTTTTTTCTGATGTTTACTTTCTTTTTTCTGTTACGTTCTGTTTTCTGTTCCTCTCGTCTCATACAGGTGTGGCCGCAGACTTCTAGGAGTTATTGTATCTCTTCTGTATTGTCTTTTATTGCCATTTTGTTTTATTTTCTATCTTTTCATACTCTTTCCTGTCTCTATCTCTCTTTCTCTCTCTCCCTTAGTTCGCAGCCCATCTTGTTTCTCACCTCCCTTTCTGTCTACGTTGTAAACGATTTTACTCCCTAAATATTTTTCAATAAAGTTTAATATACAAGTATGAAGCGGAACCTGATGGCAACAGTCATAATGGCCTGCATGTGAAAGTAAATATGTTGGGCTATCATCTACTTCTAGGACATCTGTTCCCAGAGCTATATTGGTAAAAAATCTCATATTTAGATTTTTTGTTTGTTTGTTTTACAAAATCCCTAGATTGGTATTGTCATGCAAAATGACCTTTTTTTCATTTAAAATGCAAATGAAATGCATTTTAAATGAAATGCATTTTAAACTTAGTCCTGTCGCTCGGTAGGTTGTCCTTTCAGCAAATTTCCTACTAGAGTCTGTAAACATTAACGAAATAAACTGGGCTTCCTTGGTTGTCACTTTGTATTTATACCCCAGAAAACAGGAAGTAATTAGCACTAGTTAAAAACTAAAAAACTCTAACTTTAAAGGTTTAGTTTGACTAAATTGTTTCATTCATTTGAAGTTAATTTCTCAAGCTGCTATTAATTGTGGAACAAGTGTTAATGTTAAGGACGAATAAAAACATCTCTAGTCTTTTAAAGAAATACTTGTGGTTTTAAATAACAAATAATATGTTAATGATGCAGGAAAAACAGTGCAAGAAGGAAAGTAAATTCTTTAGTTTTTAAGTTGCTCCTTCAGGCCAAGCACCTAGAATAACAAACTAATTAACTATTTTAGAGCCAATATTTCCTCCAGCAGGATACTTTCTCATTTACATATCTGCTGATAATAGTGCTGGGTTTTACAGGATCTTTGTCATATTTTTTACTCTAACTGTGCTCACATTCATAACCTGATTTGCATTGAGGAGTTATACAGTCAGGTTTGTGTGTCTAGGACTAAGTTTGTGTTTACATTTGTTCTCTCTTAGATAACAGCAAACAGAAGCTCCACAGTTCAGAAAAAGGCCAACCAACTCGCAGCCTTTCCAACATCTCATGTGTAAGAATTGTTTGCCGTGAAGTGGCCTCACTGGAAAGCATCCTGAAACTGAGCAGAACCTTTCTGATGGCGGTGTGGATTTACCGTAGCAGACCACAGCGGCCCGAGCTCCTCTGTAATAGATCCGGCTCATCGCCTCGTAACGCTCTGATCCGGCCGTGTCCTATGAAGAAGACGAGAAGAAAGACATGACAAACTTATATACACTGTTGTGTTAAAATGTATTGTCTCTTCTGCTTCCCCTCAGTCTCATGACCGGCTGAACTTTGCTTCCAACAATCCTGTGACTGTCTTGAACTTAAGGGTGATGCTACGTCCTATTATGTATGAACTCTCATTTACCCATTAATAATCAAAACCATTTCATCTAGCTTTGTTACAGACCAACACAAAGCAGAACGTCTTTAGGAAGTGGAAGGAGAATTATCAATGGTTTAATAATTTAAAAAAAACAAAGAAACAGATTTAAATGCTAGACGGCGTAGTCAAAGTTCAGAACTTAGTCCTATTGATCATCTGTGGCAGGGCTTTTTAACTGATTCTCTCCACCCAGTCTGACTGAGTGACATTTCATCTGTAGATGCCTAAAGCTGGCTGAGAATTAAAATCCCACAATTTAATGCATTGATTTTTGTGGTTGTAATTTAAGAAAACAAAGTTTATTTATATTCATTCAGAAACGTAACTAAGAGACAGAAATACCACAGAGGTCTAACATTCGGATCACTACAGCTGTGTTTTCCTTTCCCATTTATGGTCACCATACAGCCACATGTCATAATCACGACGTAACCCAGACGTGTATCAAGCCGGCAGCTCAAGTTGTGTTATTTCTGTGTTTCTAAGGAAAAGCAAAAAAGATTAGAACAACCTGGCTTCAACAGGCTGCAAGTAAAAACAAGCCCAGGGATCCTATTGATTACAGCTTTTTCTTTAGCCATGCTGTGTGTTACATGTTGAGAAAACACCAGCTGGTTTGAAAACAAACTCAATCTCTAGATTGAAAGCTATAAAAAAAAGAGGGAAAACAACCAGCGTCTCCTACAGTAGAGGTTCCCAAACTGTTCTTGGCGAGCCCCACTGTTTTTTAAAAGAAAGCTTCCTCCCTTCCTCCTTCAACAATCTTTTCGACAGCTGAACAAAGAAATTCAACTGCAAGAAAATGTATAGCAATAAAATAAACTAGTATCTTCTCTAAACCTCAAAAATGCCACTTTTAAAGTGTAACTTCATTAATTTTAACTGCTATATAAATTTAAATATTGCCATTCAGATTTTTTATAAGTTCCTAAAATTGGTCATTTATCCAGTCCATTTCTACCATAGTAGCCCCTTCCCCCTCTGGGAGTCACCAACTCACCCATATTCCCAGGGTAATCACTTTTTCTCCGACTTGGATTGGTTTGGCAACAAAAGCAGCGCCGATCGTCTGTAAGGGCAGAGCGAACAGAAAAAGTTAAATATGAGACAATGAGAAGCTTAGAGCTCTCAGTCTGAACTCCGACAGACTAGAAGGATATTAACCATTTATCCTCCCTGCAACCATTTTTAAGGAAGTTGTATAGAAACGTTAATTTGCAGCAAACAAGGAAAAATTATGAGGTCAAATGTGGCCTGAGGGATCCACCTCTGAGAGTAACTGGTTCATAGAATAAAACCAGTCCTCTAATGTTAGCTACCATGTGTGATAATAACTGTTGTAAACAACGTAAAATGTAGTAAACTGTGTTAAACATAATTAAAGTTCAAACATAATAAGCTGAGAAAATATGTTAAAAAGCCCATTTAAAAAGTAAAAAATGAAGTTCCTGTATCTGCATTAAAGTTATGCTGTGACAAAACTGTGTTTCTTTCTTTCTCAAAGAGTTTTTCATGGATTTCTTATAACGGCACTCATTGGATTTTATCTACCATATTAGAACAAGGGACTGTTTATAGTAATTAAACTGACCTCTATTTTTGCCATTAAAATACTTCTTTTGAAATGTTACTAAAGTCATTAGGCAGAAATTATGCAAACAAAAGCGGAGATTCCCATTACATTCAGGATTTTAACATTTTGATGCCATTTATTGTTGAAGAGATCTGTGAATTGCAAAGCCTGACACGCTGGAAAACCCACTAAATGAGTCAGCTGACTATAAATAGGAGATGACACGGTCTGGTTCAGACAACAGAGCCAAAACTGAACCGCTCCAAGTCCTATCGTTGAACTAGTACTAGATTTAACACGGTTCGGTTGTGTCTGGCACGGTCCAGTTCAGTTGCATTCCATTTACACTCAACGGTTATCTCAGTTACGGTGCTCTGACCGTTTATAGTTTAAAATGGGTAGTGTTAATGGGGCTGTAGTTTTTTGATATAATTACTTTAAAATAATGTCATTTTGGGGCATGCAGGTGGTGCAGGGGCTAGCGTGTATAAGCCATGTACAGAGGCCTTCGTCCTCGACGCGGTCGACCCGGGTTCGAATCCAACCTGTGGTCCTTTGCTACATGCCTCTCCCCCTCTCTCATACCCCCTTTCCTGTCAGCTTAGTGCCAAAAAAATTTAAAAATGAGCCACTAGTGCCGTAATAACTCAAAATAAATAAAATAATGTAATTTTCATGGATACTTTTTTTCTCTAAAATCAACATGCTGTGACGGTACTGAAGGGATATTGGCCAACCGGTGACACACTTATCATATCTGAGCTGACATCTTCTGGACTGAAATGTTCAAAAACTAAATCAAAGGTCACTGGTCAAAATATGTGATGAAAGGGAGCTTTCATCATAGTTTTCCCAACTTTAGAATAAGTTGGGAAAACTTTGGTGCAATTCAAAAATCCCTGTAAAAGTAAAGTTAAGAAAAACACCACTAGATTGAAAACAAGTTGCTGCCCAACATGGTGCAGACAATTATTAGGCAAAATACAACTTTATTTTTCTTCTTTGCATCTGATGAAAAACTTAAACAGAGGATCCACTTAACCGATTTCAAACTAAAACAGCTACTTTGAGCTAAATAGTCATTTATAGGGACCTTTGGCACAACAAAATGTGCCAAAGGTCAAACACTCTCCCTCTGAAATTAGCAGGCATGAAAAAAGAAACTTCATGCCGTGATCCAAGCACAGATGCTTCCCTTATGGTTAAATCTACTATGACCCAGCATTGGTTTTCTGTTGGAGCTTTTAGTGATGTGACCAACCCAAGAACCCGCTTCAGGCCAGACAGAAAAAAAAAAGACCTCTTATCCAGTCAGCGACAGATCTTATGTGGAGATTGCAGCGGAGCAGCTGACACTCACATTCTGGTAGGGGCCGACTAAGAAGCGATGGTGAACATATCTCTCCACTAGACTGGTCTTGCCGACGCTCTCCTTTCCCAGCATCACCACTTTGGCGTCGACGCGCATGGCGCTCATGGTGGCGGGGCAGCAAATGGGATAGAAGGGAAGGGAGGGGGGGTTATTTTACAAGGTTGTCACCGGGCTGCTGGAGGGCTGCATAAAGGAAAAGACAACAAAACAGTCGAGCAAACTCATGAGTTTTTAACATGTTGAAATGCATTTCTGAATTCTATCCAACACTTTTTTAATCTACTTTATCTCATAGTATCATTTTACCATTTTTTTAAGGTAACTACTGATGTGAAAGTCAGAACATTAAAGTTCCAGTTTTAAAAGCTGCTATTCAGGAAATGCATTGAAAAAATAAGTTTTTTTAAAAACATATTGCAGATACCTGCAGATTTAATCAGCTTTATATTTCCACAGCTCCAACCTTCTGATCTTAAAGCTCCTTTGCTATCAGTTTTGCCTGGTTGTAGGGGTTCTGATAACAGAGCTTAGAAAATAAACATATTGTTTGTGGATGGCTGGACGTTGTGAACCTGCTCTGGATTCATAGGAGTTCTTGGGAAGGACTAAATAAAAGAAAAACACCCCCTCTGATATCACGAAACACCCTACATTGATTTTGTCAGGATGTTTAACCCTTTTTTACTCAAGGAGAGCTTTTTCATCATGGAATAAAAAAATATATATATATTTTTTTTGACTTCCTGTAGAATTTCAATCTAATTTAATGTTGTCCTGTAAATTAGTGGCTCCTTATACAGCCATCTCTGCAACAAGCCTCCAAAGTATTCTCATCACTTAGATCTACCAATTCTCACTTGCTTCCAGAATTGAGCAAGCTCTGCTCTGGTGGCAACATAATTCTGTATTTAACTCCACATCAGCTCAAAAATAAGATCTTAGTGATTGGTGGAGCAGCAAAAGGTAGCTGCTCCTCTTCTTTAGAGCCAACCATTACTAACTACAGACAAGGCCAATGTACTGTATGGTGAAAATGCCGCTTTGAAAGAAAACCTACCAATCAGCCTTTGCACAGTCATCATGAAAAATGCATCGGCAAAGTTTGCTTATGTTTATGCCAAAACTTTAGAGAGCTATTTTTAGAGGAGGTGGAGAAGGCTAGATAATAGAAGCAGAAAGTGAAAGGAGACTACTGATTTGAGAAAAAAAAAAAAAGTAGATTAAAATTCAATCTAATAGATTTCAAACAATAACATCCATTATATATCTGATATGCCAGAAAAGTAACATATAACTATATAAATACATATAACTATATAAAATAAATTATACCAGACACCATTTGTCATTTCAGAGAAGAGTAAGGTTGCCTTCTCTAACCACAACTTAGATAAGAAAACATGATTCCAATAAAAATCTCAAACTTCGAAAGCGTAAATAAGTAATTAGCTCGTAGACACTTTTATGTTGGTTAGTTTTAAATATAGAGAAAGGTTAAATAAACTGAAGGATGGAAGAATTTAAACAGTTTACTGTACTTAATCATGCCTCCAGAGTAAAAAAAAAAAAATCCTGATCAAGTAATAAAAGCATAGAATAAACTGCGATATTTAGAGAAATCCATTAAAAATACCTAATTTCAGTTTCAGTCTAACCCACTAACCTAAGTTGAACTAAGTATCTGAGTCTCAGACCAGAGATAAAACATAAAAAATAAGTGTTTAATGAATCCTAGTAGCTAAATTATTTCCAATATAAACTGAGAAAACCTGTTTCCTGTTGGCTCAAACACATCTCCATGTGAGTTCAGCGGGACAAACATGACACAGCCAAAAACAACCAGGAGAGGAGAGCCCTGACATAACAACTTAGCAGGCTACCGGTGTCAGCTAGCAGAGCTAACCTAACCCCCGTTACCAGACGTTAGGAGAAATAACTCACCTGGGTTTTAGCTTTCCTCCACTAACGTCTCTTCATAAATGGCCCTGTCCGTCTTCCAGCGGGGAGCCAAACCTCTTCCTAACACCCGCCTACCAGACCCGCTTCACGGCTGACACGGTGCCCAGCAGCTGGCTGCTCATCTCTGTCCAGGCTGCGGGTGGAAGATCCTACGGTTGGAGTTGGACGGGCGGAAAAATTAGCTCCGTTGTTGCGCAGAGTCAGAAATCACAGACCGAAGCGTAACAGAAAAAAAAGACAACGCATTGGTTCGAAGAGATATTCATTTAAAGGGCGTAACGTTTCTTTCTTAACTGGTGAAAGATCTCCCGCTGAGCTGTTTGTTTGTTTAGGTCGGAACTAATGAGCGGATATGGTGGTTTCTAAAGCAGGAAGTGCTCGAGTTGCCGGGGACATTCACCGGAAGCTCGGCTGTATAATGCTCCCTCTGTGCAATTAAATCAGAGAGTAACCGTTGAAACTTTTTCATTTGTTAAATTACTTAAAATGTATCATAGAAACTATAATGTTTGATAAAAACACACCCAGTTGTATAAAACAAATATCTATCTATCTATCTATCTATCTATCTATCTATCTATCTATCTATCTATCTATCTATCTATCTATCTATCTATCTATCTATCTA